CCTCCAACCTAAGAGCGATGGCCTCCACCCTAATAGCGTCCTTGCTACTAGTAGTAGTGTCCTCCAACCTAGTAGCGATGACCTTCCACCTAAGAGCGATGGCCTCCACCCTAATAGCGTCCTTGCTACTAGTGGTAGTGGCCTCCAACCTAGTAGCGATGAACTCCAACCTAAGAGCGATGGCCTCCACCCTATTCGCGTCATTCTTACTAGCAGTCATGGCCTCCTAGCATGGGGCTCAAGCCATGTCTTTTTTTTTGCAAAATACAGAATGCTTCAACTCTCACAATGGGTCACTTGCTTGTTTGTTTCCAATTGGGAGTATAGTTAGCCATACTCAGTGTTGCCCACCTGGCCACCGGTGAATGTAGAAGGCCAGCGCCCTGGTTGATGGCAATCCTCATGATTAGCAGCACTATAGAGTCTACAAGCTTCTTCTCCATCACCGATGGACACCACTCAAAATAAGAGGCTCGTGCCTAGGTCTATATTAGGAAACTACTAGGAACAAGTGCATCGCTACTAGTAACAAGTGCCTTACTAGTAGTAACAAGAAGCTATTAGAAACAAGTGCCTTACTACTAGTAACAATAAGAACAGAATACCCTTCTTTCTCGACCTTTGCCGCACGTGGCCGCCAACATACCTTGACTGCCAGGCCGTTCCTCCACCCGGCTCAGACCCTCAGAGCCAGGAGTGGGGGGCATCGCACGGTGCATGACGGGAATCTAATGGGTGGAATTTTGTTGAACCAGATTATAGTGAAGCCAGCCCACCAAAAAGGGTTATATATATATATGTATGTGCTGCATTATTGTCATTAATGTAGCTATTATATGTGTTATATGTTTGAAGAGTCGTTTCTTCAATCTCTGTCTCCCAAGCTCCGGAGTACAAATATGTGTTCGGCTTTTGAGTTAAGTTCTTGTGAAAGAAGTCCTTATTGTCATGGTTCCTCTACATTCGTAGACTCTTCATGACCTCACACCAAGCTGGGCCAAAGCGGCCAGGTCCTCTTGAAAGCCCTCACCCTTCCTGGCCGCGCCAACCAGGCGCTGGGTAGGGCTCATGGTGCTGGGCACATGAAGGTATTGTCATAACTTGCGCCTGAATTTTGTCTGTGGGAGGGGACATGCACCTTAAGTTTCTTGGGTACTTTGAAGATTTCCAAGATCTGCATCGAAAGCACCAATATCTACACCTTGCTGTACCTCTATAGGTTTCTTGGTGTCTTTTTCTCGATCTACACCAAAATGCTTGAACTTCTAGGTGCTCAACCCTCGGCCGCCGTGGGTGCGCCGCCGCGGCCTCCATTTCACAGAGTGCCCGATCCGTCCGGTCGCCTGAGCGCCTGAGCACGTTGCCACCGAAACGGGTTCGGCCCAGTCCTTGTGACCTGAGGTGATTCAGTAAGATAAAATATTGATGAATCATTAATCAACTGATCATATCACGAAAGGTAGCTTGAGCTACCTGAGTTCTCCTTGCTTTAGCAAAAATGTATTACAATCAGGAGTTGGGATTGTGCATTGATTTTGGTCCTGTAAGAGATGATTCTGTTCGTCGGTGGGGGCCCCCCCTGGATCAAATCCCCCCTGCGCCGGTTCACTCCGTCGTTGACTTCTACGAGGGTTACTTGTGATTGCCTGCTACCTTTCGTTCACCCCCTCCTCTCTCAAGTATTAATGAAGAGGCTTTACATGGTTGTACAATCCAAATGGGGGGAGTTTGATGAATCAAGAGTCCGCATTAGGTGGTTTCGGCCCTCATGAACTCCTAGCGGCAACTCCTCAAGACAGATCAAGCACATGGACCGCACACTGAGGCCAGTCCTCAAAGAGACTGCGCCGGCTGCGCCGCGCCAGGTCGGTGTTCGGGTGATTCGGTTGGGGTGGGGAAACAGACCAAACGCGAAGGTGAAGGCTGTATCACGATGGCCTCCACCCTAGTATTGATGGCCTCCACC